CACTGGTGCGCACTAACTTTTGCCCAATCGAAAACGCTATAAGATATACAGGAGCCCCAAAAGCACCCGTATTTCGTACTGCTCCGTCATTAGATCGAACTGCTACGTCTTTTACTCATGCGCACAAAGTTTCCTAGAGCAGACGAATTCTTGCCAGCTCCCATCACTGACCTAACCTATGTTATCGGTTAAGAAATTTTATACATCTGATTTTGTAAGTTAGTACATAGTCATTGCATGCAACATGGTATAGATGGCGAGAACGATTAACAGCTGATGCTGATGCCACATAAATATACACCTCGATAGCGTCAGTGACAACCGAATATCGGGTGTCGTTAAAGAACATAATTTATAACTTTTGTAATTATACATAAATCAGAACGCTTAATAATAAAAGAGAGAAATTGCGGAAAGGCTTGGTCGACAAAAATGTTTAGCACCAAGTCCTTCGACGTTGTGAGCTTCAATTCAGAATTGTCTACTGCGAGGTGAGCTGAAATTCTAATTATTGTTGTAAAATTTATATGTGTATATAAATAATCCTTTATTCTAATTAATAACGTTATCATATTATTATCTACTAGATTGGAAACATCCGCAAATGTTCAAACAACAGAGATAGTCTATACCGCTAGTGAAACGCAGACCACAGAGACAAGAAGTATTGGGGTATGTTATTAAGATTTTATTTAAATTCCAAAATTTTTAGAAGATTTTGTTTACACTTAGCAAGACAAAGTGACTTCTTGAAAAAACGTGTAAATTGCAAAACGTCAATTAACTGTAACAACAGCTTCTTTATATCTACATTCTTGTATTTAATTCTTATAGGATTAGTTCCACTTGACGCTTGCAATGTTCTTGGAATAATTTCATCTTTGTTTATTAGTAGAAAACAAAAATAAATAATACTTGCAAGAATTGTAAGTGCCAAGTAGAATGCAACAATAGATGTCTAAAATTAACACTGTATCTAAATAACGATCTTTATTTTTTTTTCATTATTTTATTTCAACACATTCATTTTTATTAATTTCAGATTCAAACAGTAAATGGACAAAAAACAGATGTACAAGTGGATTATGATAAACTGGCAAAGTTTCTGAAAAAAGTCATGCCAGGGATCCTGGAGGCTCTTGATGAAGCTTATGCTACTAATGCTTTTGACGACTATAATCCAAATGTAACTGAAGCATCATCCGCTAATATAGAGTTATTAAAAAAAATAAGCACACCTAAGGAACCAGACACTCAGGTACAGCTTTTTAATAAAATGATATAACTCGTATATGAGATTAAATGATTAAATGCTTTTTAGATTAAAATAAGTGACTTATCTTGGAGCACCGTTGGTGGAACGTTAGCAGTAGGCCTCAGTCATACTTATCACGAAGCATGGTGCGATCATCTTTCTACAGTCCAGTTATACAATCTCACAACTGAAGATAATATTATAGACGTGCCTACTAGAACGTTAGAGACGAATGGATGTGTTACAACGCTGTGTTATCACCCAACAGAACCCTCTATCCTTGCAGCCGGATTATCTAATTGTAAATTTCTTTGACCCACCGACAGTAACATGATTTTTAACTCTTCTGTCAGCAATAGGGATCAAGAAACAGCAAATTTTTTGTATTCTGAATTTTATAAGAATCTGAAAAAATTCTTGTATTCCTAGTTGTCAAGGCTTTAATGAGTTTTACCATCATGGAAGTCGAATTTTAATTTACTTATTTTTTAATTTAAATTTACCAAAAATTTAGGAAATGTTGATAGTACTTTTCAGGATCCCAACCGCCGGCAGAAGATTAATTCCAATTAGCAGCAATATTAACAAAATTCACATCTCGCTATATTTGACAAATGTTTGTATGATTTCTTAAGGGGATGTATTAATCTGGAATCTCAGGAACGACGATTCCGTCGTACCCATGCACGTATGCACGCATGGTGACTGCGTGTCCCAAGTGTGCTGGAGACCAAGATCCGTGAACGACGTGACCCTGTTGTTGAGTTCCAGCAGAGATGGATACGTACTGATTCACAAATTGACGGCTAACTTTACAACCGTTCAGTTGCACAAACGGTGCGTACTGCTGGCTATTTAATTGATTATTTCAATTATATGTGCAATCTCGTTTATGCAATCTCTGTTGCATTACAGATTCAAAATAGTAAAGGAACGTAATCCGGTGGAAAATGCTAGGCCACGCAGCGCCGGAGGTAGCGAACGCGCTGCGGAGGCAGGACTGTGCATCACAAGCTTCAACTTTTCACCGAAGCACTCCAGTATATTTCTCGTTGGAACACTATGCGGTGGAATTTATAAATGTAGCTTGGACAGCATAACTCCTATCGAAGGTTCGCATCTATTAATAACAGGAAAATATAATGTAATACGATTTTTCATCGTAAACAAGACTTTTATTAATTTCAGGAGATGCCACGCTTATAGATCCTGTAATCGATGAATATGAAAGACATGGAGGTAGCATTACCTGCATTAAGTGCTCACCGTTACGCAATTTGTTTGTCAGCAGCGCCACGGATAAGGAAATCCGTATATACAATCTTGACGAGGTAAATCTCCATATATTACGTTTAAACCTTGCTAATTACGATTTTAATCCTATAAAAATAAGGAACATTATTTGATATCTTTGTTTATTTCAATTGAGTTTTTCTGTAATCGAATATAGAGATTAAAAATGAATTACAGTCACGTAAATTCAATTATGTTAAAAGAAATTCTGGCATATATAAATGGCATCTACGTAAAAATAAAATTAGAGAAATAGAAAATTCTACAGAATTCTATTTAATTGTATTTTACAATTACTTGCTACGAATATTATCTTTGAATATACAAGTATTTAAGCGAAACACGTGAGTTTGCTTTTTCAATGCCTGATATTCACATAAGAACTGGTCAATCTTGGCAAAACGTGACTGTTGTTCTGCGAACAATACCTACTTATTCAAAAGATTAGAGATAAAACATTTTCTAAAATATCTTAATAATAAGCATAGAAGGGCAAAAAGTAAGATAATAGTTAAATTTTTACAAAAATGTTTATTATATATTAATGTTAATTTTTTTATAACTTTGACATTATATAATTGTTATATGAACGTAGCATGTCAGTCATCAAAACATTTCCGTGGACAATACAATTGTGGGATTAACATGGATGATTGGCAATCAAGACATATTCGCAGCTTACGGAGCAAGTGTGTGTGTAAAATTCTACAACGTCACAGATGGTAAACCTGTAACGTATGCGAAAGTTGAGGTGACTGGCAAAGAAAGTATCAGCAGCTTATGTATAAATTCCAAGAGGTAAGATAATTAAATCTGGATGATTCATCACTCAAATATTTCTCTTTTTTGTTAATTCTAAGTGAAATAAGTATAATAGAGCTCGTTTTCTTGACATGTTCTTTTCTATAAAAAAAAAAAAAAAAATTTATCTATAATAAAAATTTAAAATATTTACATATTTGTATAATTATAATTTGCGTACATCACGTCATAATTGAAGGTCACAAACAGTTTTTAAATAATCTTATAAGACACTTACTAAAAATATACATATATCAAGTTATTTATTTAATACAAGAGATTAGTAAAAAAATTAAGGAAAATATACATTCGAAAAATCATAAATATGTCCTACTTTTATAGAGATATGCTGGCTATTGGAGATGTTCGTGCGAATGTTGAAATATGGAAATTTCCACGTCACTTGTTTTGAACGTAGTTCTGATTGACGCAATTGCTTGCGCCATTTGCTGAATGGACTGACACATCGCTATGTATGTTTTATATGTTGCACATATGTATGTAAATGTTTATACCGAAATAAATTGGAACATTGAACCATCTTTATATCATAACATACTAAATTTTCCTTTATAGATAAGAAATGATAACCAGTCTTGGTAACATAAACTATATCATATTAATAACTAAATTATTTTAAGATCGAAAATATTTACAAATTCAAAGAGTCAAACAAGATTAAAGATCAATTCGTATTTTTATACAATAAAGAATTTTCACAATTTTTTGCATGCTGAAATTTATTATTAAAAAATGGATTTAATGTTAAATTTTGGGTACCTAATTAAATATACATATTAAATTCAATTTAAAAATATTGAGCTCTATTTTAAAACCTTGTACAATTCATATAAACAATGTAATATTATTAAAAACTGTATATTACCTATCTTCGCAATCGATCACAGCAATATCCTGAAAAGGAAATGTAATTTAACAGGAAGCACATTTTATTATTTTTCAGATATATTGAAAATTTGTCCTGAAAAGGACAGTTTGCACGTCTCCTCCAGATGTTCGTTTCCTTTTCAAAAGGTCAGCTTACATATGGTCTGTTTTCTGTTCCTGCACTAGAATTCTCTTTCTCGCTTTCGACAAATATCAAACATATACCTATTTTATATTACTTTAAGTTCCAAAAGCGTACACTGGTTCGGCCACAGAAAACAGACCTATAGCATCGTTTGTTTTTTTTTTTTTGTTTTACGTAGGAGGGGGAAAATCTTCGCAAGACGCCCCGGGGTCCGTACCCCGAGGTGTGTGGGATTCGACATGTGTATCGCCTACCCACTAAAAACCCCCCCCCTGTCCAGACTCTTGCGAACGTCTGAATGATAATGAAGGATTATGCAGAAGAATCTTTAAATAAAATACAACTGGACATACAAGATGAGGAGAAAACAAAGAAAAAAGCGATTCTCCTGTGAAATATGTTGCAAATCTTGAAGACGGCCAAAAGTCACGTGTTAGAATTCTTAAATCGGTTCAAAGAATCTTTTTTCTTTTTAATAAGGGAATGGGATAATTAAAAAAAATAATTGAAAATTTCTTCTACTCCATCCTGATGATTTCCTTCTTCGCTTCTTACGTGAACGGCACAATGTTGATTCCATTCTCCTCTTGAATATGTAGATTCCAAGGATTCTTCGGTGTCTTCTTTTTAAAGCGGCAGCACACACCTATTTACACGGACTCGTCAGGCGAGTCCGCAACTTATCTCCTTCTATTTCTGTCTTATCTCCGTCATCAGAGATCCTTCTCTGATTTCGCTCGCAGTTTGTCTTCCTCACTCCTCTACTTTTTATTTTATCTCCTTTTTTTCTTCGTTCAACAATGATATGAATATGTGCGCCTCTCGTAATATATAAGCGACTCACATAGACATAGAAATACATGAACTCCGTCACCGTGTAAGTGGCTGTATAATTGCGCTGCGCTGAAATATACTCTGGAAGTCACGGAAACGGAAAGTTCTGTTAAAACTTCCCGGCTTTTCTCTTGCGTAAAGACTCTCCGCTTGGGGTTTTCCCACGACTTGTGGTCGAGAAACCGAAACTCCGCCTGCTTTCTGTTCTCCTGGTTTACCACATCCCCGAAATCGATCGGACACTATTGCACGCCAAATCGTTCGACTCCTCTTGATCTTCTCTTCCACTTCTTCTCTTTTAAGCTCTCTTCCTCTTTATCTCTCTCCCTCATTAGTCTCTTGCCCTCGACACTCCTCGCCTTTTTCATAAGTTCACGCATGCCCGCTTTCTCTCTCATTGGTTTCATCTGCACTTATAATTTTTTTTTGGCGCCTTTTCAAAAAGACATTTTCTGGTCCGTTTCTTTTTCTTCTTGGAAATCCTGAGACCCACTTCAATCATTCAGACTCAAGATACTGCTCTGCTAACGAACGGAGAGCTTTTTTCATATATACTTGCTGCTCCGCTCTTCGCTCCGTATCTTGATAATCACTCGCACCCGAAAAATTTGCGTTTCCTTAGTCTTCTTCCACTCTCACTCCCTCTTCTCCATACTGTTGCATTTCTTCTTCTTTGTCGAACCTCTTTAGTTTTGCTTCACAGCTCTTTCTTCAAAAAACTCATCGGTATAAATGTGCAAAGCAAAGTACGATACAAACGGTTTACGCTTTAACACCTTTCAGGTATGACTCTTTTCTCTTTTTTTTTCTTTCTCTCGACAATAATATCGAGCGATTTAAGCGAACAGCTTCCAGGAAGCCTCCAACTTCATCTTATTCGTTACATTGTCTTCCCCGAGCGTCATAGTCTTCGTCCTTGGATCTTCGATCATCCGCATCTTGATCTCTTGACGATCCTCTTTGTTTCTGCGGATATAAAGACGAAGAAAAAAAGCTACGATGATCCTTTGCGTCGAATTTGTCATCCGTATTCCGATCTTCTGCCTTGCTCTTCTTTCTTGATTACTTTCAGTTCTTCTTCGAAATTTCCTCGTCGAATGCGCAAGCACGAGACGATTGTTTCGCGATGAAAACAACGGGATGCGCGTCGAAAGGCGGCCGTCGCTGGTCATCCACGTGTCCCTCCTTCTTCCTCGTCTCTCGCGCGATCACAATGATGTCTCGCATTTCCTCCTCGAGTCGTCCTATCTCAATAACAAATAAGAAATGGCCACTCAGTTTCCTTTCTCGACAGAATTGCTCATCCCGTATTTATGATGAATTATCTCGAATTATCTGAAGTATTGTTGTTGAGGATAATTTCCCATTGTTCAAAAATAGCAATTCTTGCAGCTCTATTGGCCTTCTCTTCCGAAGATCTTGGAAATACTATCACAAATGCGAACTTGACATTGGATCGTCATTAGATGAATAGACGATCTATAGATCTCGTTTCTGCGCGTAACGACGAATCTTCCTCTCACCACCTTCCGCTCTTTTTGTGTCTTCTTTCTTCTTCGTTATTTTCCATCTCATGGTTTTAATCTCACGTTTGCGGAATCGGCCGTTTATCGACGTTCGGATCGCTCGAACGGGTCATCAATGTGAACCGCACACAAAAACTCTCGGAAGTCTTCCCTCTTCTCGCGTAGCAAAATAATTCTCTGCCTCTCTGCCTGTTTTCGAGGGCATCCACCCTCCCTCCTACGCGTTTTTATCTGCTTATTTACAATTATTTAAATGTATCGCGTCGTCTATATTACTATCTTCATTATCGTCGACCGACGTATTCCCTCCTTGTAAACAGTTAAATTCTTAATCGTGACATATATATATAATATATATAATGCCTATTAACGCGCTCCAGTCAGAACCTTAAGTATTAGCTTTTTGTTTTTCTTTTACAATACTACATAATAGATTACAGTCGTTATCATCTATGCCTTATGTATTCTAAAAACCTCGACGGTTAATTGCATCTCGTCGTGCCCGTGACAGTAACCGTCAAAGGGACACAGAGGGAGGAAAAATCATCGTCATTGTCATCCTCAATGTTGTTATCATCACAGAGATCGCGACTCGCTATTCTTACAACTATTATTAACTTCCCCTATTAGATTCGCAGTTCTTTAATTATCGTTCTTTCTTTCTTTCATTCTTTCTTACTTTTTCTTTCACGTACACTCTTGACGAAAAAAGAAAAGAAAACCTCGCGCAAGTTTCTTTGGCGATACTCTTGCCAATTCGTGCGATCGTACTACAACAATGCTAACCGCTGTTCTCCGAGATCGCACGCTTGGATTGTCGTTGCATCTCGATCCTTTAAATTTTCGCAAATACAAAATGAACACAGGCGCACACATACGAGCTGTTTATCTTGAGAACAATCGATTCTTTTAGACGTAAAACATATCATATCTCAATTTGCTCCCGCGTCTTCTTTGTAATTACATAGCTTATCAAAGTCGCACTCGTGCTCTCAAAAGAAACGACTCGCGTTGATACCGCACGTATCTTTTCCTCTCTCTCTCTCTCTCTCTCTCTCTTTCTCATTCTCGCGATAACGTATCTATATCATTGTCTCGTTAAAGCAGACCAGAGTTCGAAAAACAATGCTCAATACAAAGTGTAAATTTACGGACGAACGTATAAGAAAAACGCGAAGAAATGGGAGGGTTGTGTGCTCGAACGGGGGGCGGGGGAAAGAACACGTGCACAGAAAAAAGATCATTTCTTCGTCTTGTTGTAAAATTCTACGATACATCGCAATGGCGTTACCGATTTAATTTTGAGAAACCGTATCATGTCTGATGTTTCTCATCTAAAAAAAAAATGCTGTAGCACGAAATCCTTATAATTTCAATTCCATAATTAAGATCGAAAACGTGCGAATCCGGCTTAATCAATTAAAAAAAACACGTTTTCTGGGTTCGCAATTTTTGTAAATACATTTTTAAATATACATTTTTTAAATACATCACTTCTTTTATGAAATCATGTATGATAAGTACGAACTTAAAATTAATGTTTGGACAATTAATGTTTGCTGTTTTTGAACATTTTATATAATTTCTATAAATAAATATAAATCTTCATAAATAAATATAAACTTTTCATAAAATGTGTTCATGTAATACTAGATTTTTCTCATATATTTGACGGCAATAGCCTTTTAGAATAATCTCAATAAATGATCAGTCAATCTTCAGCAAGTGATTAGACAATTTATCAACGCATTATTTTACATATTTAATGTAACATAATGATAAAGGAAAAATTCTTAGAGTATAATATTATAACAATAATCATAATCATTATAATATTATCTCAAAAATTAAAAACTTGCTGCAGATTGCAACCTTTATGATCAGTTCAAATCTTTTTAAAGCTATAACTTTTAAAATTGTGACTTTAAAGTTACATATATGTACATATCTTTTAAGTTTCATTGGTTCAATTCATACATTTCGTTTTCGATTATACCATTTTTTTCATAAACAAAAAAAACCATTCGAGTTAACGGACGATTTTTTTTTGGGGGGACAATTCGAGACAACGCCTCCCTTCTTACATTTGCAATCAATCCGCGCAGTGAGATCTTCCTCATCAACGATTGGATCTCAACACGCGAATATCTTCCTCCTGAGAAATTGCAAG